TGGATGAAAAAAAAAAATTCGTTTTGTGTTTTTATAAGGGTTTGTCCAGTTATTTCCAAAAAATTGTATTCTTTTGGGTGGGGGGGTTTTTTTTTTTTTTTTTTTTTTTTTTTTTTTTTTTAATAAGAAAATAAAAATTTTTGCTTACTTTAAATCCCTTAAACGGTAAGATTTGCAAAAGAAACACCATATTAAGAAAATATGGTTGGTCTATTTTTTTGGCGCAAATTAATTTCTTATTTATTTTTTTCCCCCCAATTGAGTTAAATGATTTTAATGTTAATTTAATTTCAGCAAGAAGTATAGTGACTCTCTACTTATTACATTAATACTCGATGCATATTATAACTAAATTCGTTGTGTAGAAGCAAGAATATGAAAATTCTTTAATCAAGCGAATTTCTCTCATGAATTTCATCGCACAAAGAAACTAAACTAATTAGTACATTAAGCAATTTATTTTGTTTACTAGATAGGTTGGAACCGGGTTATGTAAAATCGGATCAAACCGGTTGTAAGTCTTGGGGCTACTCAAGACCTTAATCACACAACTCGCATCCAATCGCCTTTCGAGCCATTCTCAAAGCTGATATGAGAGAAAATGTTTAACATTATATTAATTTGTGCTATCGTACGCACATTACGAAAAGACCTCCTTTTATAAATTTACTAATTTCAAAAAACTATATCAGATCATTATTATCTATAAGAAATCGAGTATAATAGATAATTTTAAAATACAGTCTGATGCATAATGTTTATAATTTTGTAAATTTAAACAAATAGATTCGTAGTTTTCTAAAGCTTTTCTTAAAAAATATTAAATAATTAGTTATTTGTGTAACTTTGAGATAATCCTTCGTGAAATGGCGCAGCAAATAAATTTTGTTTATAATATGTTGATATTTATCGTTATACAATATATTGTTTCATTTATCTCTTGTGACGTAATAATAGTACTACTTTAGATACGTTATATCAAATGGATATGAATAAAGTTCCACTGCAGGCTCAAGTTGAGTAAAATATATTTCGACTCAGTACTAACGAGGCGGCTTGAATTTTTTTATATTACATGAATTTATAACTTAAAATAGAAAATTTAAAAAGGGGAAATGCTTCACTAACAGAAAATAATGTTAGTTATGAAAAGGAAAGGTTTTTTAAAGAATAATCTTTAATTAGTAATACATATTCATTGGAAGCTCGCGTAGCCTAAATTTTATAATACGAACACAATTACCAATTTCATATTCATCAATTACTTTCGAATAAGGTTATGATTAAAGATCTCAGGTTTCGACGATGTGCATGAAACTCTTTATAAATACTTAACGAAATAAACAATTTTCAGTATTTAAAATAAATTCAATTTCTGATCTTTTCTAGCGGTGCAAGTCACTTGGTTTTATAAATGATTTTGTCTATGTTTTGTCAATCAATACAAGAAAATAATTTTTTTTTTGCATTAATAATATATAACTTTTATTGCGAGTGATACATGCAGTATAAGCAATAATAATGATAAAGACATTTTGAATATTACTAAGATCAATGTGGCTAACACGAAATAAAGCATTAAAAAGTGAACGAACTGCATTCGCTAAAAATAATTACATGTTTAAATAAGATGTTGATGAAAATTAAATAAATTAGATTCTCTTTTGTTTCAAAGATTATCAAAATCAAAAAAAACAAAAATCAAAAAATCGTAAATTTAAAAATATTGACTTTAAAGTTCCAGAAGAGTCAACAACTATATAGTAGCAATTGCACAACCTAAAACATCTTGTGTATCTGGATTTCCAACAGCAGCTCCCAATAAGTACGGATTAGGTAAATCGGCTGGTGCTTGAATTTCCACCGTTTGAGTATATTGTTCACCAGCTTTAATTGGACATCCACTTCCAGTACAAGCAGGAGTAATAAATGGATCTCCTATGATTCCTACATCTTGCTGAGCAAATACAACCGCAAGCATGGTATCTTCTGTAATATCTTCCGAAAATTTTCCAGAAACAGTAACTGTATCCTTTTGTCCAGCGGCGGGAGGATCGGGTGAAAGTGACACTTGAAGTAAGGGAGGTGGGGTCGTTGAACCTTGTGGTGGGAGACATGCATCAAATTTGGTGGTTCTTTTAAGAAGTTTATGTGGAATTGCATTGACCGTGGTGAGTGTGACCAATAAGAAGAATGCAAAAATAAATTTTCGGTTCATGATTATGGTTTCTTTGAGAAGTTGACTTTGTTGTGTTTTTATTTTTTTTGGTGAATATTAGTTTTGTTAGTTATTAAATTCTTAGATTCAGAGTAAATTGAAATCAGTGCTTTTTTATAGAAAAAAAAAAAAGTCGAAATCCTTTAAAAATTGTAATTTTTATTTACAGTATTCTGTTTCCATTCTTTCATGTGATTTTCATCATGATCAACGCTTGTCCAAATTTGGTCTTCATTCTATTTTGTCTAAACTTGCTAAAGTAGAATTTCGATTTTTAAATATTTGAAACTAAAAAATGAAAACATCCATAATTAATTTAAAAGATGAGCTAACTATATCATTTTAAAAGCTGAAATCATTCTTTATATAGACTATCATTTTGAAAACCAGTATCATTCTTAATATAGTAACTTATTTTAACGATCGATCACCCTTCACAATTAATTAAATCTTATGGTAATGTTGGAATGATCCATCGGTTGCTAAAAAAAAAAGGCAACTAAAAAATTAACTCACCTGACACCCGCAGAAACGATATAATTCGAAGGAAGCAATATTTTTTTTTGAAGAAAATCAAACGCTGCGCCACGATGCGCGAAACATCTTATTTTTTCTGAAAGTATTTCACAAGAATTTTAAATATTATTATTCTTCGGAATTTACAAGTAATACAAAAAGCATTTGTCCTAATTCAAAAAAAACACGTTGGGTCAAGGTCACGTTTTTTGCTTGACCCTGGTCTACCCGGGTACCCGGATGATCAGGAGATCCGATTTACAGCAAAATTCAGTATAATGGGGTTTTCGGGTTTGTCGTTTTCGGAAAACAATAATAAAGCCGTGACACTTATCATGATGCATACGTATGTAAATAAACGTTGGTTTTTTTTTTTTTATTTTTCTGATTATGCCGAAATTAAAATAAATGAACATTTCCGTTCACTGAAAGGAAATTTTATTAGAAGAGCATTACTCATTAGAGGTTGTTGTAGATCACCAAAAAAGTTTTATAAGATTTAGTAATATCACGTATAACATTTTAAGGTCTATATTAGAATGATAGGCAAATTATGTATTATATATTCCTCAAATTTGGTATAGAACTATTTCAAAATAATTGAAAATTTTAGAAAATTAGGCGCTATTAAGGAAATTCAAAATTGGTAATGATTAATTATATTTTATGAAAAAATTTTAGTATAGAATTTTGTTTGTAATCACTAAATAAAAACATGACAATGCAAAAAAAAATATTTAAATAAAATTTATTTAGGCAAATGTATATATTGAAATCAATAAATTTTATAATATAGGTTAATTTATTTATTTTTTTTTATGGTTACAGCTGTAAATTTTAATTATTTTAAGTTAGTGAATATAATGTTGAATTTAAAACTATTCTAAATAAATAATTCAAATCTATTTGGTTTAAAATATCCGATTTGGATCTATTCAAAGACCAATTTTCATAATTATAAAAAAATTTTTTTTTTTTGCAAATAATTCTACTTTCTGTGTAAATCTGATACTGTTTAAAATACATATTTAGTTGATATACATTTTCCATATAAATAATATGATTGAAATTGATGTTGATCAGATATCCTTTTTATTAAAAACTATTTAACCAAACACGATGTCCATTTTCTTTTTACAAATAACTGTTGACTTACTTAAAATTTTTATATTTTCTGTCTTTGTATACTAATAAAATTTGTTCTTTTTTAGCTGAATTATAATATCATTTATTTTTGATAAAATTAATAAAATCAGATATTCTTTTTTAGAACTTTATTGAATCAAAAAAAAAAAAAAAATACAAATATCTTTTAACCTTTTGATAAAATCGATTTTTTTTCCAAGAATCATGGAAATAATTAAATCCGATTATTTTTCAAAAATCAAGACTACTTTTAACGAAATGAACATTCTTTAAGGATTAAACTCAATCAAATTCTTTTATAGGTTTCTTTTAAAATTTAATAGTACAAATGTATATGTATTTATATTATATAAAGAGTATTCTTAATGATGGTAGTGTAAATGTACATCCTATTCTAACTTTTAAATAAATTATGAAATATTAGATTCACACATCTTAATAATAAGCTTTTTATGTTTGCTTAACAAATACAAATACCAATATATGCTACAAACTGACAGTTTTTATATTCGGTTTAAAACTCCGAGTTGGATCAGGTCAAATCTGACTTTAAATTTCATTTGAACCGACATGGAAATCACATGACTCAGTCCGATTTCGGAATGATCAAAAAAAAAAAAATTCCCGAATTTATCATCTTTAAGAAAGAATGAATGAAAAAACAAAGGGAAGCAAAAAATAAATATTTAATTGCTGCGAACCCAAAAACAACAAAAAAAAAATTAAAGCGATCAAAGAGAAATTTAATTATTAAAAAAAGATTTTTATAAAAAAAAAAAAAAATGAAAAAATATAATCATTCGATCCACAAAGTATATCCTGTTATAGTATAAATATTCCCACAGAAGAAAATCTTGTCCAAGAAAAAATATTAAAAACATTTTGATTTTGAACTTTCGATGAAAATAAATTCTGACTATATTAATTTTTATGCACAAAATTATACTAAAGTGTCCCAAGCTTACAAATACTTTCCCACGAAGTTACTTTCGTCCCAAATATACCAACTTGGACGTTGCAGATCAATTAACAACGATCACGATAAAGTCACAAACTTGTCTAATGCAGTCACATATTTGTCTAAAAACTTGTCTAATAGAATCGATGGTTTGACCATCACTATTCAAACAACTGCGCAAAACTCGTATGTATTTTTTTTTTTGTTTGTACCATAAAATAAAGAAAAAGTTGTTTATAATTAATATTTTTTATATTTTAGGGATACATGAAATCTCGCGCGAATTTTTTAATTCGCGTTGATCCAGTCCAGATTTGTCAACTTTCAAAACAATTAAAATCATTTTTTTTTACTAAACCAATCAATCATATATAAAAGCCATAATTTAAACTCTCTCATGGCATTTTACTGGTACTGTTGAATTTCGACGTAAACGATTTGCAAAATACATGAGTCCAATTAAATAATCGTTATAGTGATTATTACATTCAATATATATTTTCGCTTTTAATATTGCTCATGGTGCATGAAATTACGGCTAATCGGTTACTCAACTTGGGACAGCACTACACTACATGTTGAGTACCTTACTACATATGAAACTTTACAAGTAAAGATTCAATTAATTATGTATTAATCCCGTAAACTCGAATTTTGAATAATTTTTTTAAAATTATTCTTTTGAAGACATAAAAAAAAAAAAAATGTTGGTATTAGATTAGATACAGAAAAAATATATATATATAAATAAATATTTGTTAAAGCTTATAATAGTACTGATAATGAAAGTAAGATTCTTGATGTTATTGGTTATATCCTATAGTTTTATAGCGCTAACGTTCCCAAATTAAATAATAAATGAAAAAGAAAGAAACGTTTAATGATTTTTAAAAAACTACTGTCAGCGGTTAAAACCATTAATAATTACTAACAAAAACTTGTTTCATCTAGGTAATTAATTTATTAAAACTTCCATCATCAACAAATTTTCCTACGTTACAATCATCAATCCAATGAGGTTTACTTCACCATTTAACAATAGACAAGATCAAGCCATTGCAGCCTCGGTCATCATTGAATGTAAAGAATTCCCCTGGAATAAATAAACTCACGGCTAATGTAATTCCTAATATAAACTTGCTAATATCAAATTTAATACTTTTAAATTGTTCTTGATAAATCAATAGCCGCCACAGTTGTTATCAACAGGATATCTGCCGAGTATTAATAAATTTAAGTAAATAAGGAATAATAATCAAAATGCTTGTCCAAAAGCCTGTTGTTTGTAAAGATAAATAATATAGTATACCGAATATTAGTGTATTAAGCAAAACTAATTAAGTCTGAAACATTTGCCAAATTATCAGTTGTATCGACACTAAACTCATGTGTATAAGTTAAAATCATTGAGATTTATATTTTATATTAATTCAAATTAACAAACTATTATTTTTAATTGAATTTTTTGATTTTAATCAAATTTTTTTTTTCAGATGTATTCTTTTTTTTTTTTTTAATTCCGAATTTTTTTAATTCTAGCCTTCTCGATTAAATTAGAAAAATAATTAAAAAAATTCACGGATATAAAAAATTAATAAATTACATTTTTTTAAGAACAAAAAAAAAATAATTAATAAATAAGTTAAAAATTAAAAAACAAAAAAAATAATTAAAAAAAAAAAATTAAAAAATTAAATTAAATTTATCATTAAAAATTGAATTAAATAAATTATATAAATTACGAGTTAATGTTAGAATTAGGATTAGGGTTATAGTTAGAGTCAGAATATGGTTTTAAAAGATGAGTTAGCATTAAGATTATCGAATATGGTTTTATATGATGAGTTAGTATTAAAGTTAGTTAAGATTAGGGTTAGGGTTAGAGTTAGGGTTGGATAATTTATAAAAAAACATCAATAAGTAATAGTTACTCGGCACTTCGTGCCGAGTAACTGTTGTATTTGTTTGCAATAAATGATTGTGGAATTTGCTGAGCTCCGCTCAGCAAATTCCACTTGATCATATTCTTATTGCAAATACATTGTATTATTGGCCAGTCTATTAGGATCATACTGATTTTGATGGACTGATATTCTTTGCCAACGGCTAAATATCAAATATAAAGACTTTCATACTTTCAAATTTAATTTTTTTTTTTTTTTTTTTTTTTTTAACGATGTGGCTACTTTCAAATATTATTATTATAACAATATTAATTTAAAACATGATCTTGTGTGATTGATGTAATAAACTAGTTATTGGTCAGGGTGGATAAAAAATCGTGTCACACAGTCCAAAAATAAATTCGATTAATTCGATTTAGAATCGATTAATTGATCTACTGATCACTAAAACGGATTTTAAATAAATTAATTAATGT